ATCTTCCTGATTCCCAGAGCAGTGCTTGGCACATAGAAGGAGTTCAGTAAATATATATTTAATAGTCATCACATAATGAATCACTTTGGAGAGTAAAGGCATGTTTTCAAGATAAGTTTTAATCATTTACCATCAATTGTTGAAAATCTAAATTTTAAGTTCCAGCAGAGAATTTTACAAAAAGCATCCCACTCTAGGCCTTGCAACGAGGACTCTCTTAGGTATGGGAATGCCAACAACTACAGTGGTTAATTTGATGATAATTATGCCTTTAATTGTTCTTAAGACCAATCTTTAAAAATATAAATCTTAAATATATATAAATAAATAAACTATATTAAAATATAGAGAAATTTATTTCTTCTTACCACTTTCTCACCAAATCATAAGTAACTATTATCTCCCATACTAGAAATATGTAGAAAAGCTGGGAAACACAAAATTTGGTATTTGAACATTTATGGATCTATCACTTAAAACTTTTGCCAAGCTATAGAATGGAGATCATTGATGTAGATTACAAAAAAACACAGTAACAGGAGGTGATCTTTTAAGAAATTTTCAATGTTACACAATTTATCAGACTCATAAAGAAATTCTAATAGAAATTAGATTACATATACCTGGGTGTGCCCTTTTAATTTTATTCACATACTTAGCAAATACTGATTAACTGTTATTGTGTTAACTAATGGGAATATAATAGTGAATAAAGACCATCCGCCTTCAAAGACCTCAAGGATTGTGATAATTAATTTTACATATCAATTTTACTGAGCACAGGATGCCAAGATTAAACATTACTTTAGACAAACATGTGTCTATGAGGATGTTTCCAGATAAGATTGGCCTTTGAATTGTGGAGTCAGAAAAGTAGATTGCCCTCTCTCAAGTGAGTAGGTCTGGTCCAACTTGCTGAGGACCTGAATAGTACAGAAGGCAGAGGAGGGAGGAATTTGCCCCTTTTTGTTTCCTATCTGTCTGCTTGAGTTGAGATATCTCAACTGTTCTTCTCTAGACCTCAGGTATTTAAACATTGACTTCTCTGGTTCTCAGGTCTTGGGGTTTGGACTGAATAACATCATTAGCTTTCCTGGGTCTCCAACTTGTAGATGGCAGATGATGGGACTTCATGTTCTTCATAGTTACATGAACCATGTTCTCATAATAATATATGTCCATATGATTTCTAATTCTCTGGGGCGGGGGGAACCCTGACTAACATGAGGATCTTAGACATGAAACTAGAGATCTTTCTCTTTCTTCCTAAAATCCAGTAACAATGTAGTACCTGGATTCCCCAGCAAAGGATCACCAGACATTTGAGGAAAGCTCCAGCATGAAAGCAATAGATAACAAGTATAGATGATGAAAGGAGCAGAAAAATAACTTCCTAGAAATTACAATTAAGATATTCAGAAAGGATGCTCAGATTGAGAACATAGGCCCTAGCTCTGAGCCCTGGTATTAGCCCCATTAGGTCACACCAATTATTTGGTTTCAAAAATCATACTCCTTTCAGGCCCTTGGACAAAGGTTTTCTTCCTCCCGTGTCTCTACTTCTAGCCATGGCAGGGCGTCACACTGTCAAAGTGTTGTGCTCTCAATCACCCAGGCCCGAGACTTTCATCTTTTTCCCATCCTCTCCATATCCAATGAGTTCACAAATCCTGTTGGTTCCTCCTCTGAAGACTGTCGTGCAGTATCTTATCCCTATTCTGTAGCTGCTGCCATAGTTCAGAACTAGTCATGTCTCTTCTGTTCCGCTGCAATACCCTACAACTAACCTCCCTGTCTGTGACCTTCCATTCGTTTGCTGTCTTCAGAGCATAAGTTTGTATAAAATAGAGGGCTGATCATGTTTCTATCCTGCTGTAAAGTGGCTGATGGTGCTCCACTGTATGGAGCAGGGGTCCCTAAGGTTGGCTGAGTAAGCATCATAATCACCTGAGGAAATTCTTTTTTATATAAATTCATTTTTTTATTTATGCATACAAGAACTGGGGTATAGGCCAGAGGGATGGGGGGTGAGAGGATTCACCAAAAACAGAGTGGAGAACGGAACAGGCAGACTGACTGAAATACACTGCTGAGGGGAGCAGGGGCAAGACAGGAGAGGTCTGCTGCTGCCATGTGGGTTGCTTTCTGTCGGGGATCAAACGTGTGTGCCAAAGTAGCTGCCGATTGCTTTATAGTGCTGACGCTTAACCGCTTGTGCCACCAGGGAGGCCCCAACCTGAGGAAATTCTTAAAAATATAGCTGGCACAGGAAAGAGCTCAGTGATTTCTCAGGTAGACCTTCTCCTACGGTACCCTCTGGTGGCAACTTCATGCAATGGCTGCTCTTCATTACCTCCCCAAACCCCAAACTGCCAAGTCCCTTTCAGATTCTAAGTCAGTGGATCTGCCTATTGGGGAAACCACAAGCTTACAAAACCAAGTCTAAACTCCTGTATTGATGTATCAATTCATCTCTCCAGTCTTCCCCATAGCATCTTCTTTTCCTGGCCTTCCCTCTTGATGTCCCATTTTCTCTTCCCTTCAACCACACTGGACCGCATTTCATTTCCTGTAGTAATGTCTGATGACTTTTTCTCTGCCTGGAATGCCCCTCCCCTCCATCTCTGCAGGATGAAACTTTCACATTGTCCAAGGCTTATTCAAATATCTTTCCCTCTAGGCAACCAGTCCAAATTAACCTGGTCTCTCTTTTCCGTGTTCTCATGACATTCCCAACTTCCTCAGGGAAGCCTTTCCAAATCAAATACTCTCATAGTTCCTGTTATTTTGCCTTTTATGACAACACTTAATGTGCTTAATGATTATATACTTATTTGTGAAGTTTTTAGTAAGTCTTTTGCTCCTACTATGCTAGAAAGGCCTTGAAGGCAAGAGCCACATCTGTTGCTCTGCACAGTTGGTACATAACACAGAAGCTCAATAGTCACCCAGTCAATAAGTGTGAATTGATATTTCTGAAATGATGACATATTTATTTTGTAGCAGTATAATTGTATATACATTTGGATTTCCACTTGGTCATAAGCTTTTTGAAGGGCCAGACAATATGTCTTATGTCTTTGTGCCCAACACCTCTCCCCATCTAGCTCTGAGCCTGGGATACAGCAGGAGCTTAAATAAAAGTGTCTTACTCTTTTTGTATTCTTTTGTGGAGAATACAAACTCCACAAGAGCCAGGATTTTGCCTTCTTCCTTATTCCTTTGCTTCTTCCCCATTGGCTAGAACTGTGCTTGATCTGTGCTCAGGACGCATTAGTTGAATGAACAATTTAACTACTGATTGATTCTTCCCCCTATTGTTTCTGCTGGTGGCAACTTTATATAACCACCAATTTTCACTTGGTCCCTAAAGTTCTCTTCTCCCATTGAGGTGAATTTCCTGTTTGATCTTGCTAAAGTGGGTTTGTAACATGGTCACATTCTCCCTGGTAATTTCCTTTTCTATTCCATCTTTTATCAAATATTTACTGAGAACTTATTACATATTAGAAATTGGGGAAGGATTGGTCATCCTAAATTGAAGATGTAGTCCAAATATGATTAGAAAGAGACATAAAATAATTACAGCAACATGAGACAAGGGCCATGGTAGAGATATATAAAGGAAGTCCTAGAAGTGCCGCTCAGTGGGCATCCAGAATAGGCATCTGGGGAAAGAATTTCTGAGTTGAGTCTGGAAGGACAAATAGAAGTTAACAAGGAAACACTTTGCATAAAGGCCCAGAGGTAAGAGAGTGTGATTTAAATTCAATGTGACTTTAGTGCACAGTGTTCTGGCTAAATTTGGGAAATGCAAAAAGAAAGGTATTGTAGATCGTGAAGAGCTTGAGTGCCATGCTCAGTGAATTGTCTTGAAAGAGGTGAAGAGTTTTAAGCAGAACAGGGATTAGCTCAGAATAAGGGTAGGAAAGAATGGAGTTGGGCAAATCTAGAGGCAGGGAGCAGTTAGGAAGTGATTAGAATATCAAATCAAAGAACACAGTGGAACAAGTAGAAAGCAAAAGTGTTAAAAATGGAAGGACAGTGGATTTAACATACATTTCATTGAGAGTTTAAATCAGAAACGGATGAGAATTATGGCAAATGTTTTACTGGGCATTTATGAAAATGACCATGTATTTCCCCATAGAAATATTATAATAAATTATGGTAACAGACGTCCTAATACGGAACCATATCTTCAGTTTTGAATGGTACTTGTTTCTCATTTCTTATTGCTGAAAAAAGTTTAAAAATTTCCCTGGAGGTCTGACTGTTCCCTAGCTTTATCACTTTTTATCTTTTGTATTTGTTTTATGCTGTTCTCTCAAAGCATCTATTACTTCCTTTATTTCATTTAAAAACACTATGCTGAAAGCGTTCATCTACTTTGTGACCACATTTCTCTAATGTTTTATTGTCTTTTGAAACATTATTAAGTTTATTTCCACTTTGTTGTTTCCACAGCAACATGTATGGGACAGGATCATATTCCTTATTTGTTCCTAAGCTTAAATGCTTAAATAATGAGGTGGCTTTTCCTAGGTTCTTTTTTTTTTTTTTTAAAGATTTATTTATATATGCATACAAGAACTGGGGTACAGGCCAGAGATTGGAGGGGGTGAGAGGATTCACCAGAGACAGAGCAGGGAGCAGAACAGGCAGACTGGCTGAAATACACTGCTGAGGGGAGCAGCGGGCCAGACAGGAGAAGTCCGCTGTGCCGTGTGTGCTGCTTCCTGGCAGGCGGGGGATCGAACTCGTGCTGCAGAGGCTGCGGATTGTTTCACAGTGCGGTGCTTAACCCCTTGCGCCACCAGGGAGGTCCGGGTTTTCCTAGGCTCTTAACAAAAAAAAAAGCAACCTTTCTTCTCCAAGCCCCCGGGAGCCCCGCCCCCGCCCTTGCTCCGAGGGGGAGGGGCGCACGCGTTCAGCACCAGACCGGCGCCGCCTACGCCTCGCGCACGCCGCCTCGGCCCCGCCCACTCCTCGCACGCGCCGTCACGGGCCACGCCCAGCCCCTTGCTTTCCGGTGCCCACTCGCTGGAGATTTTCCCGCCATTTCCAGCGCGTCGTGAGGAGAAGTGGATGATTTCGGGGAGATCGGAAGCCTTCTGGGATTACGGCAGCCGAACTGGGAAGGTAACTAGAAAAAGAATTGGTAAATTTGAGACTGTGCTGAATCCCCTTTACCCTAAAAGTCCAGGCGAGTCTTGCCCTCACAGATCCCTTGTTACGAGTTCATCTCGCAAATCTGTTTAGTCAAAATTGTTGTGGGTGCCCTTAAACAGATTTTAAAATTACTTTTCAGTAATTCTTTACATTCCCTTGCCGGTAGCAGTTAGATGTATCATGAGCAAAAAAAAAATCTGAGCGTCCTTTTCTTTGTAATGCCTTTGCATTGAACTGTTTATTCAGCAAGTTTTTATCGTGAATCTTGCCTTAATGTTAAAAAATGTGAAGGTGTAGTGCAAGCTAGCATCACTCTTTTAGCAACCATCTACAAAACCGCTTTAAAACTTTTTAAAACGAAAGTGTTCATTGGGGACAGGGGACTACCTTCAGTTATTTTTCCCAATAAAACTCCAAAGGAAATCTTAATTAAAAAACTATTCTTAAATAACATTCATGAAATCAAACATATGAATTTATTAAATATATGAGCTAATTACAGCTCCGGTATGTATCATCTCAATTCTGTATTTTTGATATGTTAATTTCTTTATTTAAAATTCTTACCAAATCACATTATATGGCTGTATTTTGAATAAATTGTGGAATTAGGATTGCTCCCCAAAAATTGGACATATGGTTGCCATGTGTAACACAAAACTTTACTTAATGTGGTAGCGGAGACTTTGCACATGAAATCAGGAGACGGGTTCTAATCCCAGAGCTGCCACTAATTAAAATGGAACTTTAGCCAAGTCATTGAGTTGCAGCATCTTTTGAAAAATGATGGGATTAAACAAAACATTAAATGATTTTCAAGAGCCCTTCCAAATGTATCGTTCTGAGTTTCCATAGATGGGAACCTGTATAAAGCGGAAACATTATCATTCACAAACCTTATTCTCTTAGATAAAATATGTCCCAACTGGCTAATATCTGATATTCTTTGTCTGGTTCATCATCCCCTTCTCACTCCATCATTTCATATTAAAGGAAACTGTTGGAGAGAAAATGGATAGTCCTTTGTGTTTTTGGATTGTGCTTTCTAGTTAAATATTGGGACATGAATTAACCCAGGAAATTTGGAAAATGAAAAAATGTAAAGACTTCACCCTCCCCCACCCAAAAACTTTAGCGTTCAAAAAAAAAATCACTGTCCTATTACTTTTCTAAATATATGTATTATTTATTTTTTAAAAATATTATAACAATCTATAGTTGTTTTGTTTTTATTTTTCACTAAAGAAGCATTGTCACATAGATTTTTTGAGTACTGTGATTATATCGTGCCCTAGGTTGCCCTTCATTTTATCTTTATTTATTCCAGTATGGATTGGTTTCACTGCAACCAGTGTTTCCGAAAAGATGGAGACCATTTCTTTGTCACCAGCTGTGGCCATATTTTCTGTAAAAAGTGTGTGACTCTGGGTAAGTGACTTGACTGTTTCTGATCCAGGCAAAAAATGCTTTCAGTCTAGAAAAATGATTAGCCATTTTTTCTGTGTGAATGGGGATAAAAATCACTTTGTAGGTTTTGATGTTGTGGATACAGTAGGAAACTACTGACTATAAAAATTGAAGGAATCCATTAATAAGGAATGGCTTAACAAATGGAAAATCTATTAATTGAGTGTCAAAAAGATACTTGTCAGTTTTGAAGCCTGTGGCGGCAAAAACTACAAAATTATCGAACTTATTATAGAAAAAAATAAGAGTAGTGAAGAGAAATGGGGGAAAATTTGGTTAATAACAAGAGTGAAGAGCCATTTCTAATGGGGAGTGGTCTAGCTTGTGAAATCCATTTGATTAGAAATGATGATGATGATAGGCAGTTTAAAAAGTATTTTCACATGTACCAATATTATGTATTTTCATCACAATCACAGGAAGTAATTATTAGTAGACCCGTTTTACATCGAGAAAGTGTTTCAGATGGGGTAAGTACAGCTTTAAGCCCTAGAAATGAGGGCTTTAAAAAAAATATTTACCCCCAGATATTTGTCTATAATGCTGACATATTTATAGGGTATAAAAATACCCCAGAAGAATAATTCAAATTAGGTGCTTTGTTTAGGGAGACTTCACAGAAAAGGTACTACTTATTTTTTTCCAAGTGGATAGCATAGGGAAAATCATTCTATTTTTAGAGAATGGCATGTGTAAGGGCATATCACACCGTAACACTGTAGTGCAAGGGACTACACATGAATGAGTTTGGTAGAACATATAGAATAAAGTAGAAATGGTGAGAGATAAGACTGGAGAGGTAGGTAGTGGTCAGATGATGAAAGACTGTCAGGCTGCAGAACTTCAGCTTTATCATGCAAGTGATGGAGAGCAGGAAAGTTTCTTTGTTGGCTTATTTGGTGTTTTTCTTAAACAAAAGAATGATTTGCACTTGCCATCTCATTCAGGTGATAATATGGAAAGTAGACTGAGAAAAACCTTCAGTCCCCAAGGAAAGAAGGGTCAGGTTACCTTACCTCTGGAGAAGCTTTTTTCTCGACATGAATCTCATGACCCATTTAAGTTCTTGGCTAATGTAACAAAGCGGTTTACTATGGTAACAGCAGCTCACTTTGGAGCAGTTTGTCTCTCAAACATATGTCATGTGATGTTTTCTCCTGACATGGCATTTATCTTAATCAATGACCAGCACCACTAAAAATTCAACTTAGAAGGAAAGATTAGGAATGTTAATTTTTGCATCTTTCATATTGGGTAGGAGAATAGGAATAGTACAGCTTCAAAGCAAGATCAGGAAAATTAGCAAAGTCAGAACAAGGCAGGAATGTTGGTGGGGTAGGAGTTCCTTGTAGTACCTAATGTGTGCTGTAGCTAGGATAAGAAAGAGTAATTTAAAGGTGACATCATCAGTATTCTTATACTCTTCCCAGTACTCTTGTAAATGTACTCCAGTATTCCGGCAGGGAAGTTAGAACTGTCCTTCACCTGCAGAAGAGAATTGAGAATTGAAAAAATGAGAGGGGAAGAGGTACAGTGTAAAAAGCCTTCCTTATCATCAACATTCTTGTTTGGAAATACTGATTTAGAGACCAGAACTCAAGTTGATGTCCTTTTAATAGCACAATGATGTTCTAAATTCAGTAAGAACCCTCTTTTCTTCTTTTCTTGCTACTTTACTTGACTAATACCAGTCTTTAGAAATATCTCACCGTATGTGTTTGAGAATCAAACATTTTTTTCTCTTTCTCCCCAGAAAAATGTGCTGTTTGTGGAACTGCATGCAAACATCTGGCTCTTTCTGATAATGTAAGTTTTTTTCCTCCTGCCACAAACAATCTTGTCCCATTCTGGCCTCTAGGAAATATACAAAGAGTGTAGATGATGTGATTAAGTACTGATTTTCTTTTTTTTTTAAAGATTTATTTATTTATTTATACAAGCACTGGGTACAGTCAGAAGCATGGGAGGGTGACAGAATTCACCAGAGCCAGGGTGGGGAGCAGAAAAGACAGAAGGACCAAAATACACTGCTGAGGGGAGCAGCGGGCGTAGCAGGAGAGGTCTGCGCGCCCTGTGGGACCCTCTCCGGTGGCGGCTGGGGATCAAACCAGCGCTGCAGAGGCTGCGGGCAGCTTCGCAGCCCAGCGCTCAACCACTGCACCACTGGGGAGGCCCAAGTACTGATTTTTTTTTAAAAGAAAGAAGAAAAATTTAAAAACTCACAGATAACAATTATAAAAATAGGATAAATGATAGGTCGAAGAATTATTTGTGGCTCCTGTTACAGACATGAAGGTTAGGAGAATTAGGTCATAAAACCTACATTTCCTAGAGCAGTGGTGATCACCTCTTTATTTAGCACAATAGAAATAATACCAGGTGCTTTAGAAAGGGTATGTATATCCTTTGCATATCTGCCAGTATTTTGTTTTGTTTCATTGTCGATATGCTCAGTGTCTGCCCTAATCTCTTTGTAGCTGAAACCTCAGGAGAAGAAATACTTCAAAAGCCCTGTCGAGACAGCTTTGCAGTATTTCAGTCACATTTCTCAGGTATGAAAAACAAAAATGAAGAAAATCTGATTCTCCAGACAGATATATATTTTTTTTTTTTTGGTGTAATTATTTGTACAAATTCAGTGGTAAAGCCATATCAGGGAAGGTCTAGGAAAATAACACCTTCCAGTTTTGGCACTTATGAATTCATAACTTTACAACTAAGAAATAGTTGTAAACCTAAAGTGAAAATTCAACTTGTAATTCAAAGGAGAGAAAAAAAGAAAAAGTTATGTTGAGTCGTTTATTTTACTTCCTGACTTATTCTAGAGTACAGGAGCTCATGCTGAGCAAAACTCTCCTAAGTAAAAAGGCTGAGGTCTGAATTTTAAAATTTTGAGAAAAAGGTGAATTTTCTACAGCGGGAACTTTGCAACATATCTTACTTTACATATATCCATAACCGGCTTATGTAACATCTTGATAGGCAAATCAGACTCAACTTCCTGTTACACATGATTTAAACTGGAAGGTCTTAATGCAGACATATTCTAATTCATCTGATTTCTTTGTTAAACATTCTCCTTAGGCTGCATTGGTACACAATGGAGAGAACTGAATAATTGAATATTCTCTTTGCTTTCTTTTTTTTTGTCATGATGCAAATCTCACCAGTTAACTTTTTAGTGACCCAGACCTATGATAGACTGTAAAAAACACCATGTAACTGACATCTTGCCATGTATTTCCACACTCTATTAAGTAATTTTTAAGAATAAAGCAAGTTTTAGGGAGCTTTATCATCTTTCAGTGCAGTGTAATGAGTCTTCTAAAATTTGCTTTGAATATATACATCTGATCCTGTGAACAGTGGGAGCAGGGATTTAACTCAGTCTTTTGCTTATAAACGTAAGTTCATGAAAGGATTTTTTTGTTTCCCATTCTCATTTTTAATAACCTTTCTTAATAAAACACATATATTTAATTCTTCATTTAGTGTTCACAATTGGTTGCCTGAATTCTCAAAAATACTTTTATTTTCCTGGTACATCATCCCAAATGTTGGCATACCTAACTTGGTCAAGGACAATAGTAATGTGTAAGGAGGTGAAGAGAAGACAGGACAGCCAAGTGAGAGAGTAATCAAATCGTAGCCGCTTTGTTTTTTGCCTTCTTTCTCCAGTTCTGATTATTTCATAGCCTCATGGGATATTGGCTTTTTTCTTGAGATTTTATCACTGTTCTGTTCCTGTACTCAATTTGCATTCTTATGAGAGTATTCCTTTCTTAAACATGAAGATGCTCCTTAGTCATGTTTTGGTCCAAGATAGTAGATTTAATTTTTCTTTGGTAACTCAGACCCAAATCCAAACTACGCAGATAGAGGAAGGGGAGTTAAAGAATTAAAGCTTTGGACTGCATTCTGCTTTTAGCTGCTTGGGTGAGCCATCATATTTGGGATACTATTTAACATTATGGGGAGATAAAATCCAGCTGAGACTCAAGCAGAAATGTAAACAAGGTCATATGAACAAGTGAAAGAGCAGACCCTTGGTTAATAACTAAACTCAGTGTTAGTTAATGATCAGTAAAGAAGTTATATGTAGTCTGAATCCTAACCTGCCCAATCATGGGACCAATTACACATGGCCAAATACTCAAGATAAAATAAATGGAAAGGGCCAGTTAATCATCACTTTAGTGAAGAGTCAGTTTGGTGAAGTCAGCAATGTCTGAAAATGTGTTTTCTTAATATGTGAAGATGAGTAACTGATCCAAATAATATCTGCATCAATGCATCCAGGCTTCTACTCAGATTTTCTTTACTCAGCCAGACCTTTACTGACTCTGTCATCTCAAGTAGTAGTTTCAACATTCTCTACTTCCACCCAGCTTTATTTTTCATCATAACTCTTATCTCTAACGTTATCTATTTATTGTCTAAATCCTATGCTGGAATGTAGGATGAAGGCAGAGATACGGTCAGTTTTGTTTATTAGATACCCAGCTCTTTGGCTAATTCTCAGTATATAGTGGATACTCAAAAAAATGTTGTATAAATAAGTGAAATGTTGATCTAAATATCCCACATTATCCCTAATCTCTGTAATGAACTGAAAAAGGCATTTTTTTGTTGTACTACTCTGTAACCAATAGTTAATCAAACGGCCCAATTTGAATTCTTTACTCCCCTCTAGGTCGTTTTTGTAAGCTTGTTTGGTGATTGGGGAGTCCCATATGGACCTTCATCTTTCTTCTATTCCTTTGTTACAACTATTTTTCATATATATGCTTGTTATTGTTCCTTCTTTGATAAAAGAAAGCAGATCTTTATTCTGGTAGGCAGATCTTTGCTCTGTTGTTTGTACTCCTATCCTACTTTGTTCTTAACTGTAAAAGTTAAGTCTGAAACTTAACTTTGAAGAAGTTTTGACGTTTATTCATGTGTATCTTTCTCTCACTACATTGAGTTTTTGAAAGGCAGGTTATTATGTTTGTATGACCTAATGCCTAACTAGATGTAGTATAAATTAGGTACATAAGAAATGTTTATTAAATGAGTCAATGTACATTAAAGTTGGAAAGAAGGAAGACTGATTCAGGGAAAGATCAGGGAGGAAGGCTTAATCATACAGGGACTTGTAGGCCATGGTTAGGAATTTGATTTTCACGTCAGTGCAGTGGGACACCATTGAAGGGTTTTAAGTAAGAAAATAGCATCATCCGGGCCTCCCCGGTGGTGCAGCGGTTGAGCGCTGGGTTGCGAAGCTACCCGCAGGCTCTGCAGCGCCGGTTCAATCCCTGGCTGCTCCCCGGCCACCGGAGGAGGGTCCCACATGGCACGCAGACCTCTCCTGCCGCCCGCTGCTCTCTCAGCAGTGTACTTAGGTCCTTCTGCCTGCTCTGCTCCCCGCTCTGGCTCTGGTGAATTCTCTCACCCTCCTGCGCTTCTGACTGTACCCAGTGCATGTATAAACAAAAAACAAACAAATAAATAAATAAAACATGCCTCTAAAAAAAAAAAAAAAAACCAAAAAAAAACTGTTGAGATGAATTAAGGTGAAGGCAAAGCAAGGTTGACTAGATTTGGCAACCTGAGTGTTACTGGTGACCCAATAGGAGCATGCTGGTAGAGTCTTGATAAAGAGAACTACATTGGTGTGTGTGCCTGCACTCAGTCTGCTTTACCTCCCAAGCCTCTTCTCAGCCCTCTGCAGTGTTGCTTCAGGCTATCTCATTGAAAATGTTCTTGCTAAGGAAATCTCTGTTATCAAATCCAGTGGATACTTTTCCCTCCAATTATGTTATATATGATTTTTCAGCATTTGAGGCTGATTCTCTCCTGTTTTTGTTTACCATAACCAACTTTTCTTCCCTTTTTGTAGCCTTCTTCCTCTGTCCATATCTTAAATCACCACATTTCTTAGAATTCTATCCTCCTTTCCTTACTTTTTGTATTCTCCAAGGATAATCTCATCCACTTCCATGCTTCATTATCACTGATGTGTGGATGACTTCCAAGCCTGTTATCTCCAGCTTAAATGTCATCTTAGCAGAGCTGTCTGTGACCACTATATCTGAATTAAATCTCCCCTTTATTCTTTTGTTTCCTTAATAACACTTGAGTAATTTGCCATTTGTTGTTGTTTATATGCTCATTAAGGATGTAAGCTCCATCCTGGCAGGGACCAACTTTGTTTTGTTTGTTGTATCCCCTATGGTAATCATATTTCTGTTACATAGGAGGCACTCAGTAAATCTGCTGAATGATTGAACTCTCTCTCAAGCTTCAGAACCATATATCCATTTGCCAAGTAATTATCCTCACTAATTCACATGTCCCAAACTAAAGTCATTATTCCTAACATCCCTGACACAGGAAAGCAGATTATTCTGCCTATTTCTGTCATGGGGAATGATAACCACCATCCATATAATGACCAAACCAAATATCTAGGAGTAATTCTTGATTTCTTCTTCTCTTAGCATATCTAGTCCACTATTCGTGATGTTAGTTCTGTTTCTCTTCTTAAATATTTAAGAAGATGTGTCTACTTTATCTTCAACCTCTTAGTTTTGTTCACCATAGTTTCCCATTGAATTACAGTAGCTTCCTAACAGGTCTTTTAACCTCCTGTCTTTCCTTTTCCTATCAGTTCTCATAATGAATACAAAAGTTTTGCTGAATGTAGGTTTGATCAGATTATTTGCCTTTTAAAAACCATTCAGTACTACCATTGCTCAGAGGATAAAGTTCAACCCATTAATATGGCCTATAAGGCCAGACATGCTTTGATCCTTGCTTATCTCTTCAGCTTCATCTCTTATCCTCCCATCCTCACCGCCATTATATATAGACAGACTGAATCCATTTTTAATTATTCATATAAATAAATTTCTCTGTTGCTTTTGGACTTTGTACGTGCCAGTTTATCCATCTGGATCCATCTTGCTTCCACACATACACATGAATATACCTAGTGTATAACACGGTATTGTTATATTATACTATAATTTTGTTTGTCTAGTTCTCCCATGAGGACAGCAACAATATCAATCTTACTCACCTTATGTATTAGTTCCTGGCAGAGTACCAGAAACAATACAGGATTCAATACATAAAAATTAAGTATTCGATAAATACTTTTTGAAAGAATTAATAGAATAGCCTTCCCTGCTGAGGTTTTCCCTTACAACTGTGGTGGCCCTAAGAAGTGAGGATGATGTTCTGGGAAGCCTCTCGGTCATCACACCACAACTTCCCAGAGGGGCTAACAATGGTCTTCTGGATGGCAATGATGGCAGTGGTCATGAGTCCCTCCATGATGCCACAGTTATCATGGATCTCCTTGACCAGGGGGTTCAAGCAGCTGGTGGTGAAGAAGGTGTTTCTGACAGTCTTGAAGGAGTGTACTTCTTGTGGTTCACACCCATCACAATCAAGGGGGCATCAGCAGAAGGGGCAAAAATTATGACACTTTTGGCCTCACCCTTCAAGTGAGACCTAGCCTTCTCTAGTGACAACACTGGAGCATCACCCCATTAATTATGGGGAA